CATCAACATGTGTCCCCTCTTCTTCATGTCTTTCTCAACATGTGTCCCTTTCTTCATGTCTCTTCTATCAACATGTGTCCCTTTCTTTCATGTCTCTTCTACATCAACATGTGTCCCCCTCTTCTTCATGTCTCTTCTACATCAACATGTGTCCCCTCTTCTTCATGTCTCTTCTACATCAACATTGTGTCCCCTCTTCTCACGTCTCTTCTACATCAACATGTGTCCCCTCATTCTTCATGTCTCTTCTACATCAACTGTGTCCCCTCTTCTTCATGTCTCTTCTACATCAACATGTGTCCCCTCTTCTTCATGTCTCTTTACATCAACATGTGTCCCCTCTTCTTCATGTCTCTTCTACATCAAACATGTGTCCCCTCTTCTTCATGTCTCTTCTACATCAACATGTGTCCCCCTCTCTTCTGTCTCTTTCTACATCAACATGTGTTCCCCTCTTCTTCATGTCTCTTCTACATCAACATGTGTCCCTCTTCTTCATGTCTCTTCTACATCAACATGTGTCCCCTCTTCTTCATGTCTCTCTACACAAACATGTGTCCCCTCTTCTTCAGTCTCTTCTACATCAACATGTGTCCCCTCTTCTTCATGTCTTCTTCTACATCAACATGTGTCCCCTCTTCTTCATGTCTCTTCTACATCAACATGTGTCCCCTCTTCTTCCCTGTCTTCTACATCAACATGTGTCCCCTCTTCTTCATGTCTCTTCACATCAACATGTGTCCCCTCTTCTTCATGTCTCTTCTACATCAACAGTGTCCCCTCTTCTTCATGTCTCTTCTACATCAACATGTGTCCCTCTTCTCATGTCTCTTCTACATCAACAGTGTCCCCCTCTTCTTCATGTCTCTTCTACATCAACATGTGTCCCCCTCTTCTTCATGTCTCTTCTACATCAAATCGTGTCCCCCTCTTCTTCATGGTCTCTTCTACATCAACATGTGTCCCCTCTTCTCATGTCTCTTATACATCAACATGTGTCCCCTCTTCTCATGTATCTTCTACATCAAACACGTGTCCCCCTCTTCTTCATGTCTCTTCTACATCAACATGTGTCCCCTCTTCTTCATGTCTCTTCTACATCAACATTGTGTCCCCTCTCTTCATGTCTCTTCTACATCAACATGTGTCCCCTCTTCTTCACTGTCTCTTCTACATCAACATGTGTCCCCCTCTGTGGAAAGAGACTCTGAAAGTTTCAGGAACAAAGATTCTCTCTCTTTTTGATCCATTTCTATAAAAACCTGTCTGAAAATGAGCTGATCAGATTTTGGCCACTTGATGATGTCATAACGATGTGTTGTCTTGTGTAACCATTAGCCAATCAGCAGCCAAGGTAACCCCCCCCCCCCCTCCCCCTTATCACCTGAATCTCCTCCTAGAGCTCCATTGAGTTCTTTGTAACCAAGTCTCTCTCAGAGGGGCGTGGGGAGGGGCTCCTTATTTTCATCTAAAGTAACAGACAGAGAATCAGCACTTTGGAAACAGGGCTGAAACAGAGGGGATTATGGGTAATGCTGCAATGATCTGTTTGGTGTTTCAGCCAATCAGAGACAGGCTCTGTATATATCTGAGACCTGTGATATATTGATGAAAAACAGTATGATAGGAGACCTTTTAATAAAGGACATTTCCGGATTGATGTGATTTGTTTCCTCTCCCTCAGGTCTCTCATCGCGTCGTCTCCTCACCTGAAGTCTCGTCTGGAAGCGGCTGTGAAGGGAAACCAGGAGAGTCTGAACGCTAAAGCTAGCAGCGCTAACCCCGCCGCCAAGTCCTCCCCCAGCATCACGCTCAAAACCAACTTCCTGTGAGACCATTCAGCCGAAAAAACAAACAAAGATGGAGGTTTTTGTTAACACAAATGCACCGTGCTGCGTTCACTGTCCCCTCCGGACAAGCAGCACTCTTGTTGCCTGAGAATCTGAAGGGTAAGATGGAGAAGAAAGACAGACGTTATGATCGTTTAAAGTTCAACAATCTTTATATCTCACTTCTTCCACACGATGCATGTCACGTAATCACACATCACTGTTATTGATCGTCTTATTATCAATCAGTAACTGTCAATAATCTAACTGAGCAAAAATCCTTTCATGTTTTTATAGCTAAGAAGATCTGGTTTTAAGGAATGAGACCATTTTAAAACTGACTGAAGGAGGAACTTGAACACGTTATCTTCAGTGTGTGGCGTCAGGGGAACACACAGAGTGGAAACTGAATGAAACTGATTTAGAGCTGACGGAAAGGATGTCAAATATTTGGGAAAAACGCAAAATTCTGAGATAAAAGTTGGATAATTTTAAGAAAAAACAGATTTATGAGTTTAAATAATTCAGACTTTATGAACTTCATATTGACAATAAGCTGCCTTCACGTCTGATTTAATCGTCCACATGTTTCTTTGAATGTTTTTGCAATTTTAAGATATCCAAAAACCCTCTTTGGTTTTTGAGTCTAAATAAATAGAAACACTCTTTTGAAACTGATTGTCCAAAATTGGTTTTGAAAAAAACACTAATTTCATTAATAGATAGTCCTATAAGTTACACAATATGATCATATGTTGTTAATATTAATAATGATATTCTCTATTATGTTTTGTAAAGAACAAAAATAAATGTTTGGGTGTTAAAAAAAACCTAAAATAAACAAATATAGTTCAGAAAAAACTGGAAAAATCAATGAAATGTGAAAGTACTCACAAAATAGACAAAGTAGTGCAACAGCATAATGTTTACCTAAACAGGTCTTTGTTCAATTGTAAACAAATTCAGTTTGCACATCCGATATCTGCTTCAGTGTTGTCATACAGATTCATTTTTTATATATTTTATTCAACATGTAACATGACTTTACATTATATACCATGGTGTCATACAGACCACCAGATGGCAGCAGGACATTATAAGATTTCTCAAAAACATCAAATTCTCAGAGTTTTGACTTTTCTCAAAAACATAATCTACCATAAAGGATGCATGTTAAGTAGAGGCAGTGAGTTGGACCAATCACAGGAGAGCATCTTAAAGAAACTCGATGCCTTTGCCGATAAATAAAGAAGGGAAAATGAAACTAACACTGTGCTTTTTTATAAGGTCTGTACGTAAGAGGGAGCCTTCATTTTGAAATGACTGTCATCTCTCGAAGCAATCTGAAGTTAGCGGTAGATAAAGCTGCTTTTCTGCATCAACAACAAATCGAGGTCTTCCTTTCACCCTCGCATGAATAAATGAATGTCAATAACAGAGAAGAGCTCAAAGATATGAAAAGGATTTGTATTTGTATTAGTCAAATGTTAATATGTAAGGTTTAATGTCGACAAATCACATGAAAACACAAACTGAAGATTGTTATGAATCATACGGTGGCCTGTAAGGGACTGTTTAGTCGTCAGCACTTTAGATAAAAAGACACAATATCAACCGCGTCGTGTTTTATCAGTTTGAAGAATGTATGTTTGTTTGGTTTTAAAATACTTGTATTGTCTGAATGTCAACATTCATATCAGTGAAGAGAATAAAGACATTTCTAACATGATGTCCTCCATAATAAAACACTAAATCATTACCTGCAATAAGTAAAATAACCAGGTGAGCTTCTGTCTTCCTCTGTGCTTCACACACATGCTCACACCAGCAGTATTAGTGTGTTTAAATGTGTGTGTGCTCACCTGGCCGACTGCTCTGTGAACTGTACAGCTGTGACCTGAATGACTGAGTTAACATGATGTTTTCTAACGACACAAGTGAATAAAAACATGTTTTTTTCTTCTAGTTCACAGTCAAGTTTTCTTTATTTGTCCTCAGTTTGTTAAGTGAACAAACACTGGTGATGAGGTACATATTTATTAGTCGCCTCTGAAACTCATATTTTGCAATACAGCAATTGTTACATACATAAATATAGCTATGATACCACACAGCATCAGAAAACATTTTAAAATATATATTTTAAATTAAATGTAGGATATGAATACAAAATATATATTCAACAGTTGTTGTTTTTGTAATTATTATCAGTTTTGAAACGCAGCGCCCCCTTACGTCTGCTGCGTCGCCACAACATGCTGCCTTCAGGGACTGTCGTAAACTCAAGAATAAACTAGATGAAGCGTGATTAAGTGATTTCATTTTTTACACTTACATTATACTACTCTGTTTTTAGGACTGAATATTTGGCCTAAATGTGTTTCATACTCTAACTGTTGTTACCTTCCCCCATTCCTACACAGTAACTAAGAGTAAACCTTGTATTTAACATTTTTTAAATAAAATTCAAACTTAATTTCAGAATCAGGTTTAATACTATCTAGGTTTTAACCATGCAAGGACTGTAATAATATTATTTAAATAAACAGGAAATACAAGACTGGTCTTTCTATGCTATGCACCATTTACACCAAAGCAAATTGCTCGTATGTGTAAACCTACTTGGAAAAAAACGATTCTGATAATTAACGTTTTGGGTGTGTTGTATTTCCGAGCTGACGAGCAGCTCCTGAACGCGGCAGCAGCAGTCGGCTCTCCATTTCGGTCTCCTGTGTTTATCGACTCTCCGTCACTCTGACCTTTTTTTTTTATACCGGTTCTGAAGATATGGGAACGCCTTGATTAAAACTCTGAATCGGCGAAACACACGGCTATTCACCCATCATTTGGACCTAGGAGATCCTAAGACATAAACCGCTACTGCACGTCTCAGAGCCGAGAAGAAAAACACGGTGAGTGGCTCATCATCCCGCAGGTGAATCCGACCAAGAGCCGGGTTGGCTCGTATTGTTTGTCCGAGGATGAGCTGCGGCCTCTCGGCTCTCCCGGAACTCGAGCCCCGCGGCTTGTGTTTCGAGTCAAAGGCCGCGTAAACATTTAGCTCAAAAAAGGAAAATACCGCTTTAAAAGACACACGGTGTGGTAACAGGTTATTTAATTCTTGATGTGGCAGGTTTTCCCTTTGTTATAATTACGGGTTTATAAAAAAAAAACGAAAAATATGCTGTTACTCCAGTTAGCGTTTAGCTTAGCTAGCGTGGTGTTAGCATGCTAACTGTAGCCGGGTTTCATTACTTCTAACACAATTATATACATGATAAATAACCAACAAGTAATGTCGTTCATCACTGCTGGATTCGTGGCTATAAATGTATGGCATTTTCTGTGAGTTACAGTTTGTTTTAGAGGCCTGACAACATCGCAGTTGTTAATTAGCACAGGGAAGCTAACGGCTAGCTTTATTCTCAGTAACTGTAATACCCTGACTGTATATCCGACTGTAAATCTGCCACTAACACATCAATATCCTCTTATGTAGCTTTGTGTTTGATTACATAATTTGGCTCCCTGTGTCCCGGACAGATGATGAAACCTAGGGTTACTGTTGCTAGCTTTGTTAGAAATGCACCATGTAATTTCCCCTGTTTTACTCTCCTGTTGTGGCCGAGTTGCTGACATTGTGCAAGTTTGAAGTCACAAACAAAGGAGGTTTGTTCAAGAAGGGCAGAGGAGAATGGAAACGTAAAGATTGATACTTTATTTATCCCATGTAGGAAAAATATCTTGTCACAGCAGCATGTTGACAGTCTTATCTACAAGAATAACAAAATTCCTGAAAATTGAATACAAATTAAAATATGTACTTATTCGCAGTTAACAAATACTTATATTCAGAGGATTATCCAAATATGATAAACTATACAGAATAAATAATACTCTAAAGTCACAACTATCAGAAGAGACCAGTGTTTTAGTTTTTATTCAGTCATGGAAGAAGTACTTTGTAAAAAACTAACAATATATCTCCATAGTGTGAAGCAGAAAACAGCATTCTCTGCTTTATTTGCATTTAAAACTACCCCGATAATTCATTATCTATGTAATTTCTGTAGATAGTATTCATACAATGTGTTTATTCATCATGTGTTTGAAAGAGTCATACGTTTTACATACAAGTTAAATTCCCAACCTGCTAAACCAGAGACCCTTAAGACTTATAACTACCTCTAAACATTGGATAAATAGCTAAGATACAATCAATAGGGACATAACAAAAGGATTTGAGAGTAGAGGACCTAGCATTCAGAGTATTCAAGCTTTCAAATAATGTTGTAACACATTCCCTTCAGTTATCTTTGAAAACACATACAGAAAAACAACAGTTTTATACTGTAAATAACCGTCCTGTATACATGCAGACCTCCGCAAACCACTCTTAAAAAGGTCGTACAAATAAGTGTACTTCTTTTATACATGCTTTTTTTTTTTTAAAGAGTCTTATGGGAAAGTGAATTGTGTAAGCAGCCTGTGGTTGAGCTTTTTAGATCCACCCCTCTGCTGTTCTGGATGTTTCTATCATATCTTCATGGCCAGATGGAGTGCAATTAGTTTAGATGTTAACATTTTCCTTTCTATGACTTGTTCTCCATAGATAAGGAAATATAATTGACAGTGATCAGACAAAGTAAAGGAGTGGATTATCACATTTCAGGAGTTGGAAACACAGGATTTCGCACCGAAAGGCAACATATTTTATTATCTGTAAGTGTTTAAGTTATTAGATTGTCTTTTTACTAAACCTCAGTTGTTTCCATTTCATTCAGCTATTCTTGTCCTTGACCTAGTCTTCAGTTTTGTTGTCGGTGAATGACTGATCCATTAATCAGCCACATATTTGACTTCAGATTCTTCATTATGGAGCTCAAAACAAAACTCACAATAACAAAAATGATTAGGCCGATTTATTTTGGATTGTAATAATAATAATAATAATGGGTTCCATTTATAAAGCACTTCATATTCGATTTCAAATCCCGAAGTGCTCCAAGTAGTGAGCATGAACAGTATACTGTGCACTGATGATTGGACAAAACCAGACTTTTGATGCTTTGAGAAATTGTCATTAGCACGTTCGCTATTTTTCTTATATTCGACAATCCCAATGATTTTAAAGCTGGTAATGCCACGAGCGAAATCAATTGTCAATTGATCTGACCCTCAGAATTAGTATTGGTGCCAAATACTGATTAATTATTTGGTTTGGCCCCGATGTGACGATCCATATTAAAGCTTCTTTGTCAAGTTCTGCTTTAAGGATGACTGCATACTCAGTAGGGCTGTACCCGAATATTCGTTCGTTAGAGTACTATTTGGGTTTCCATTTCGTTATCGTTTTTTTTGGTAGCCTTGCTGCACTGCGGCTGCCAAAGTGAATTTATTGAAATCTCCAATATCAAGAGCTTGTGCCTCTTCGGGGGTGCTAACACTTAACCTTAAACTTAATCGTTTACTTTCTCCGTCTTTTATATGAAGATAGGCCTATGACATTTCTCCGTCACGTTGTTTCCATAGCAACAACAACTTAAGACATATACAACTGCAACGAAAGTAACAAACGCAATATCCTTTTCAATTAGAACACACAAATTGGGTTACATTAACAAATAACTATAAAACAACAATACTGTAGAATAACAAAATGAATGCCGTGAATAAACTGAAATACACGTGTTGAAGCGGTTAACTTTCTTAAATATTCTTAACTCATATTCTCGTATTCGAATACCTGAATAATTTCTAATATTCGATGAATCGTTCCCATCCCTGTTTTGAGCCCAGTTTACCGTGTTTTGCTCAGTGTGGATTTGATCTGCTGTTAATTGTGATTACATTAGTCTGTCTGAGACACAGTGTGTTCTGTCTAGAATAACTTCCACAGCCTGCGCACAAGGCTGGATGAGAAAGTGTTTTTACTTTCTTGCAACCACATTTAGATTGTGTGCAATGTTTATTTGTAGTTGCATCACATATGAAATTCAGTTGCTCTTAAACAGGGCTGCACGAATGAGAAAAAACAAGTAATTGCCATTATTTTTCACTTATATTGCAATTACGATATGACTCACGAGTCATCCTTTTGAACCAATTCTCATCATGAAAAATATATGGTGTTATATTTTTAAGAGAAGCTGTAACAAAGGAATATCTCTAAGTGTGTAGAGAAGAATTTATAGTCCAGAATATCTCTGCATCTCCACAACACTTCTCCTAAATGTATTTCAGCACACATTTAACCTTGAATATTGTTCCTCCTGCGATTCGAATATCCCCCTTCTTTCGATTTCCATATCATTTGGATTCATCGTGCCCTAGTCCAGCATTTCATACAAAAGGGATTGCCACAGACCTGCATAGAGCTTCGGCTTTTAACTCTGCCTTCAATCTGCAACTCGAAAGTGCACACAGGACTCCATGAAGGGGTGAAAGCAAAACCCTGCGAGCGACTGAGTTTTTTGGGTGAGTCCCCGAGGGCTTGAGAGGGTAGAGAGGCGGCCATGGCTCTCTCTCTCTCTCTTGTGATGATTAATCTGTTGATAAGAGGATCTGTCCAGAGCAGCCGGTTCGTATCCAGACTGACTGACAGGCCGGATGGCTTCAAATTAGGCCCTAATCAACTTATCCTGGACCCATCAGACTCCCAGCGTGCCATGCTGCATTGCTATGAAACCAGACGGTGTGTTGTGATCGAGATGTTAAGGAAAAACTGCCTTGCTTTTGATGCAATTTGGACGAAAGGTGTACAAGAACCTAATGGATCGAATTCACGGCACAGATTCACCCATTAGGCTTCATCACGTATGGAAAGCACTTTAACCGGTGTCTGCATCTACGATTGCCTTTTTTCTTTTATTAAAACGGGGAGAACTGCACCTCGTTATTACAAAATAATCGGTCTTTTGATGTGATGATCGTTTCTCATTTTTCAAGCCAAACATCCAAGTATTTAATGCTTCCAGGTACTCGGAATATACATGTTTCTATCATTATTATTATATAACGTTCTGTATTTGGGTCTTGTCAGACAACAAGGCAATGCGGCTGCCTTTATGAATGATTATTGTTAGACGTTTGATATGAAAAGGGATTTTCCACGCTTGACATTACCAGTTGTTCCTGTTTTTATTCTTGTAGCATAAGATTGGTTTAAATTGTCTACGAGGAAATGATTGACTTGATCTTGTGTCAAAGCATTGGTACAAATATAAAAAAACACAATTGTTTACACTGGGATCTTTCAACCAACACCTGAAGCTTTTATTTAGTTTAACTTCCTCAAACAGATCCGGCATTTCTCTGCTGCACGTTTTGTGACTTCTTTAGTCAACATATTCACAAATACTGATTTATTATCAATAATTAAAAAGCATCTCCTTTTATCTAAAAAGCCAAGAATCGTCACATTCCACAATACCTTAGAAATGGTAGAAGCCGTCATGATTTCTATGCATTTATTAAACAGAACGCATGCAGACATCCTAGGCTTCGTCTGGACTGAGAGCTTTTTTTTTAAGCTCCCCAAATCCTCCTGACTCAGCAGCGACAGACAGACAATCAGTGGTGCTTAACCTGTTCCTCAATTTAGAAGATGTTTTTGCATTTCTCTCACACTCTGGCTATTAACTAACGGGTTCCTTTTTTCCAGTAAGCCTACCTCTCAGTACGTCTCTGAATGGGGACGACATGTTTTCTTTGTTGTAAATGCAGAAATGTTAACAATAGAAGTGACAGACGTACATTTCAATACACACCCTCCCCCCGACCCAAAAAGAGTTTGTGTATTGATTTTCTCCTCTGACTTCATTTTGATTGTACCAGGCAACACTTAAATGTCTGCAGCTGAGTTTCAAATGTCAGATTTAGCTGTGAAATTGTTAAAAACATAGATCAGACCTGAATGATTTGACTTTATGGAGCTGCTGCTGGTTTCCTTCCACAGTCGGTTACAACCTTCATTAAAAGCTCTTCACACTGAATACTGTTTCCTCCTGCCTGAGCGGAGCCCCCGACTTTCATATCCAAGTGCTTAACATTTGCATATTGGCTGGTTTCAGTTGACAGTGGAAGATCTATGAACGCCCCCCCCCCCCCCCCGCCTGTCAGACTAGATTCAGGGTGTAAAAGCTCTGAGGTTCAGATTAGCTGCAGACTGTTCCTGTAACGACAACACGCTGTTCAATTAGCTCCAGGCCCTGAACTTCCTCTGGGACTCTTTTAGTGCAGTGTGTCTGTCGTGGAGGCGTGTGGCGCAGTGGGTTGTGTGTAGGTGTTGGGGTCAGGGGGTCACAGGTTCAAACCCCACTGCAGTCAGGATGTCGTTGTGTCCCTGAGACTCTTCACCCCAAAGTGCTCCTGTGGGGATCGTCCTCAGTACTGAGGATGTGAGTCGCTTTGGATAAAAGCGTCTAACAAGTGACATGTGATGTAATGTTGTTGCTTTTATTTATTTTATTTAAAACAATATGAAAGCAGACAGCGTCCTCTTGGGTAAAAATAAATGCTTACAGAAAATATTATACATAATATACATACATACAATACGTCCTTGCACACACATCTACACATGTATCTCCTTGGATGCTCCAACACTATGTGTATACATGTCGGGCTAAGAAAGGCAGGGTTACATCGAGGGATGCTCCGATCGATCGTGAGCCGAGCAAAACACACACTAAGAGTTAGACCTAACACACTTAGCTATTTTATCTACCTCTGGAACAAGCTACACTATTTATAAATGTGTTTATTCTTCACTGTCGGGTCACTCATTACTGGATCAGAGAGCTGCACGAGAGAGAGGAAAAGAGACGCTTCCTGTTATTCTCCAAAGTGAATGTAAACTTGAATAATGAACTTCATCTGAATGTAATAATTATGTTGGTTGTTTGTGGAAGCTCCAGTGAATGAGCATTAACTGAGTTTTACACATCACTTTAAATGGAAGATCCCCATAGGCCCCGCCCACTCCATCGGATCGGCGCCCAAAATTGGCGATCGGAGCATCCCTAGTTACTTCCCACTCTCAGGGTCTTCGGGTCACTTTGTCCATGATTTACTTTTTTAATTCTCTGTCCTGGGTCTATGATTCGTCCGTTTGCAGATGACGTTCGGTTTATGAGGTCTTGGTACAGGGTTCTGTTGTTGCTTTATGAGGAGTGTGTTCATCCGAGATCTGTGTTGAATTACCCTGACCCCATCTCATCAGACGCATGTCTTTGGCACGTGCCGGACATCCTGCATGAAAAGCTTAGACAGCTGCTCCGTCTTCCAGGAATTACACTGGAAAGAGTGAAGCTCAGCAGATTCATTGATACTGTTGACATTCAAATTGTTAATCAACATTTAGATGCTGCGGCGCTGGGACAACATTACATAATAACAAACACTGTTGCCGAAATCAGAGGCGGATTTTTCTTTATCAACATCTTAGATCAGTGGTAGATAGGGTTAGGAACCGAAACTCGGTTCCAGATGAGAACCGATAGGAAAATGCCGGGTACCCGTACAAAATACACCATTTTGGTTCTGCTTAACGGTTCCTAAACGCAGTAGACCCTGTATTCCACCGGGTCCGTCTGCGCCGCGGTGACCCGGTGGAATACAGGGTAAGGGCGGACTGGCCATCTGTGTGTTCTGGAGAATCACAGAACGGCCGATCGTCAGCCGGCTGTTGACGGCCGGCTCGGTTCGATGACGGCTGGCACCGCCCTTAATTTTTTAAACGGCATCATGTAAGTTGCGCTGACAGGCGACAGAGGTCCACAGTTGCCCCGCAGCGAGGCTCCCCGCGCCCTCCCGTAGACGGTTCACGAGCTCAGTCACTTCATAACACCAAAGATGGATCGCTTTGAAGTGAGGCTCCACTACACTAAGAAAGACAAGGCACAGAGCTATGCCTGTTAATAGCTTGCCACAGGCATAGTTAAAATAAAGCACAGCTATTGTGCAATACATTTCTATTGCATTTCTATTTTTTTATTTGTAAAAATGTCAGTTAAAGCTTAAAAGAATAAAGATATTTTTGTTATCTAAACGTTTGAGCTCTTTCTTTTACAATTTTGGAATCAAAACGGGGAATCAATGAGAACCAGAATTGGAATCGATTACATTTCAGACGTTACCCATCCCTAGTGGTAGATGGACCGCAGAAATAAGAGTTACATTAAACCTCCCCTCCTACCCTTTGCCTTTAATACCTTCCTGTACATATTATCAAAATGGACCTGTGTAATCAGATTATAGTCATCCAGGAATGATCCACTGCTGTGTAAACAAGTTTACAAGAGGCCTTCCAGAAGTGTCTCCTTCCTGCATAAATGTATCACCCATTAATTACCCTGTGTATAAACAGAAAATACGTGGAAAGTAAATAAGGTTATCAAGTCATGTTTTCACTTTAATTTGACATTAACTTCTTATGTTTATATGAACATCTATGAACTATTCTTACTTTCAATTCTAATATATACATTTTTTTTATTCTACCTTTTTTATTTATTCCTGAATTGAAGCAACTGTCAAACCAAGTTCCCCGGGATAACCAAAGCATCTTGATTTTCTTCCTCTGTTGCCGGGTCATTAAATGTCTCCATTGTTTTGTTTTTTCAGATAAAGAGACTACATGTCCCAGAAACCCCTGCTGTGAGAGCGAGCAACTACTTCTTCTTCTTCTCTTGTCCGTGTTTTTCCTCTCTCCTTCCTTCCGGTTGGTTGGATGAGTCCCAAACAGCGACAAAATTGTGAGCAGTGATTGGGCGCTGAGCCGGACCGGGTAGCCAACGGGGAGCCAGGTAATAACCAGAGAGAAGGTACAATTATATAGTATAATTAAGCAAGTGATATAATGACCATATACCACGGCTTGTCGTGAGCTATTGCTTTTATAAAACGGTTACCAAGTGTGGCAATATGAAAGAAAAATACACACTCTAATTTAAATAGTTTTTATTAGTAAATAATGATGTTCAAAATGAAATAGTCCCTCCGTTGCCTTCTGCACGAACACTAAAAGCTAGCAAACATATTAGACGGAGAGCGTTGATCCATTATTTGGCTATTTATTTACATTCATGTCTATGTTGCCGTTTATTGTGCAGCCACTGAAAACCTGTCCAGCATCAGTAGCATGCTTACGAGGTCACTTGTATAGGTTGAGGTTGTTCTGGCTGTTGCTTGGCGTGGCGAGAATATTGCTCCACTTTCTCCGGTCCCCGAGATTGGGCTTCCAGCAGCTCTGGAGAGACCTGTGGCCACTAACGGTCATCATGTCTCTGCTTGGTTTCAAGACCCCATCAGAAAGCTTTTGAATGGAGCTACTTTTCCAGTTGGTCTACCTGCTCTTCTCGTAGCTCTGCATGTCGTCGTTCAGGTGCTTTTTTTTCTGGAGATAGGCACTGCTCAATCCACTCCTCCGTAGTAAGACCCCCCGGAGGTCGAAGTTAACCTTAAATGTTTCCATCTTAAGCTTTGTAAGTTAGTTAGTTTCGTAACGGACGTAATGTAACGGACGTAATGTAACAGTTGTAACGGTTGTAGCTGTTTCTCAGACGCGGAGGGATACTGACTTGTGAAAAGTAACTACAATTCTACCCGTGATATACGCTCATTATATCACGGCTAAGAACCAATCAGATTGCTTGATTTGACTTGTCCTTTTCATAATATTATAAATATATAATAATATTAGAATCTGCATTTCAAGCAGGTTCACAGAATAATTAGTTGGATTAAAACAAGGGGAACTTCACTGTCCTTTTTCAAGCAAAACACCCAAGTATTTGATGGCTACTGGTTCTTAGAAGATATACTTTGTCTTGCATTATTATTAATATATTAAAGTTATATCTTTGGGATTTGGACAGACGGTCAAGAAAAGAATGTTTTGCCTCGATGAATGAATAATCAAGGAAGTAATTGATAGACATTTGATCGGAAAGGGATTTTCCCGTGCTTGGCCTTAATATTTGTTCCTGATGGCATTAGATTGGAAATGTAAATTGTTTGAGGAAATTGTTCACTCGCCTCAGGTTAAAGGAAATGATTGATGGACTTTTCAGTAGCATTGATATATTAGAAAATACCATTCAGGATAGGACAGCAATTTGTTTAACACTTTATAGAGAGAAAAATCATGCAGAATGTCATTGAGCAGTCAAATGCATACTGTAGATGCAACAGTGCACATTTCAACCAGGCTGCCAAAAAGCTGATCAAATATACCCCCACCCCAGCATGAAAGAAAACAACAGTTTTTTTAAACTGAGTAAATGAGACAAGTATACACGTTCTCATAATAGACAAAGGGTCCTTCATTGACATACTTTTTGTGTCCCTGCAGGCTAGCCATCATGGCGGACGTGGACCCGGACACCCTGCTGGAGTGGCTGCAGATGGGCCAGGGCGATGAGCGGGACATGCAGCTCATCGCTCTGGAGCAGCTCTGCATGCTGCTGCTCATGTCTGACAACGTGGACCGCTGCTTCGAGACGTGAGTGTAATGAGCTTAAAGGTCCATACGTCTCCTCTACATCAACATGTGTCCAAGGACAGGTTCCTTGAACACAACACGAGCGTAACGTGTCTTCACGTGGTTATGTCTCGTCTGAAAGGAGTTCTGACGGAGAGCACCGGAACGCCGCTCCAGCCCTTAACATATTGCAGTACCCATAAGAAGCCGTACACATGCCGCAGTGTTTGCGTGGCTGTGTCTTTAGTTGTAAGCACAGTGGCGATCTGTTGTTATTAGCATCTGGTTAGCTAGCTATGCTAACGAACTTAAAGAGCTTTTCTACAACCAGGTGGAAGAGAGCTATCTCCTGAGAGGCTCAAATAACCTCAGCTCAGTGAGGTTAAGGCACACCTTGATATGATCATTGTAGTTATTAATGAGACATTAGAGACTAAATGAATAACAGGTATAAAATACTATGACAGTAACAAAAAAGTTGTTACAAATAACAAGAATAGAGTTTAAAAGGGGAGTGAGTGATTTGTAAAATATCCAAAAAGAGAAATCTGTTCACGGCCCTCGGAGGATGTTGTAAAAATTGAAATGGCCCTTGAGAGGAAAAAGGTTCCTCACCCCTGGTGTGAATCATAATAAAAAACCCTTTATTTATAACTTAACATCTCTGTCTCTATTGATCTGAGTATATTATAAAGAACAGTTAAATGAAGCATTATAGCACAGGCCTTTGTCAGATGGTATATTACGCTGTTTTCTTTCTGCTTCGAATAGTTCTCTCTTTTTTCACCATACCTGTGTTTGCATCCCTGATAATAGGGGATCTTTAAAGAAAGTCCATTGAGCTACTTTAAAAGAATTGCAGAGATCCTGCATTACTTGCAACAGTTTCTTCTTGTACTATTTTACAGTTTTGTTTTATGTCTTAGAAATAGTTATGTTGCATTATTGTTGTAGCCTTTGACTTAAGCATTTGAACTTCTACTTTGAAATCCTTGTTTAATAAAAAAAAACTGACCCCCCCCTCTCTCTCTCTCCTCTCCTTCCAGCTGTCCTCCTCGCACGTTCCTCCCGGCGCTCTGTAAGATCTTCCTGGATGAGAGCGCTCCGGATAACGTGCTGGAGGTCACGGCCAGAGCCATCACCTACTACCTGGACGTGTCTGCGGAGTGCACCCGGAGGATTGTGGGAGTGGACGGAGCCATCAAGGCGCTGTGCAACCGGCTGGTGGTGGTGGAGCTGAACAACAGGACCAGCAGAGACCTGGCCGAGCAGTGTGTGAAGGTAGGAGCCCAGGGGGGGGGGGATATCTGAGGGGAGATTTTACAGGGTTGGTTGTTTTACTGTCGATTGTGACTTAACTGAAAGGGCTATCTGTTAGCCTGAATTCACAAACCATTGCTCTCGTCATCCTGCTTTAGGGGGATCTGTAAACTATCGGAATCATTTAGTAAGGCGGTCCGAATCTTTGTAAACTTCTGCACAGGCTCTTTTAGAGTGTACCAAATGTTCTCAAATGTAAGGAAGTGCATAGTGTCTCTTATCCATCTAGTAAAATTGGGAGGTGCTTGCTCAAATATATAAAATATTCTTGCAGTATTATTCGCCCTGAAAAATACAACTGTACACTTTCTGAATTCGGGTTTCTCCCTTTATCCGAACTAAGACTATTACCTCATGGCAAAAATAACTTCATTCAAACATCAAAATAAATGTTCCTGGTTAGTCTTTCTACTTGTCCACCAATCGCCAACTCTGTTGAAGTCAAAGTAACCCTTCATTCACAGAGGTGTGTGTCAACATTTCGCTCTATGCCCCTAGTTCATGCTCTTTTTTGGAGGCAGACCCTTATTTGAAAATGAAATGACGATAAATCCCCTGAAATTAAGAGCCAACGCACTGACAGACGATATATTCGTGCTGACATGATTTTGGTCTGAGGTGAGACTCTCTGCAGCTCTGCCTGATGATGAGAAAGCTCAGTGGAAAAGAGCCAGACGGCGTTTCTGCCTCTTCAGTGTTTTTATCTCGTTAACTCGTCCTTCAGGCTGCAGTGATGTTAGGTAAGCAGCAGCAGTGTGTTTTTGTTCCAGTGAAATCTCATCAAAAAGCATCTGTTTGGCTTATTTATCTGCAGTGCTCCTCTGGTGTAATCCTGCACAGGGCCAGGCAGATAACAAGAGGTTAACTCAGGCTACGAATAACAACTGACCAGAGATCAGCCTGTTGCTGTGTTTGTGTGTTTGTCTTGAGACGAGTCATACCACAAGCAGGAGACTCATGACCATGTGTTAGCAGACGTTTATTAATACACATCACGGGACAGTAGGTGTCTTTATTCAGGCCTCAGTTTCTCTGCTGAAAGCTGCCGTTGATCTCAAGTTATTTAATGTTTTCACATTAAACAGCTGTGCAAGAGCTCCTTCTATCACCTCAGGAACATCGCCAAACTCCGCCCCACACACTCACTCTGTCTGACGCCGAAAAGCTACTCCACGCCTTTGTCTCCTCTGGAAATGCACTCCTCATCGGGATCCCGAACAAAATAATAATAATAATACATTTGATTTATATAGCACACTTTAAAGACAACGTCATCTCAAGTTCCTTCACAAAGCTATAAGGAGAAAACATTTAAATATATCTAAAGGAGCATATTGAATAACATATGGTAATATATAAAAAAGCGTCCAGAAGCTGCGGTACATTCAGAACAGCGCTGCTAGGATCCTGATGAGGGTGCGCAAATATGATCACATCACCCCCATCCTTAAAGCACTACACTGGCTCCCCGTGGAACTGAGGATTGAATTCAAGGTCTCCGTCCTCACCCACCTGTGTATCCATGGATCTGCCCCTCCCTACCTCAAGGAACTCCTCACCCCCCATACCTCCTTGCGGACCACCCGCTCCAGCAACTCCAACCTCCTCAGACCCCCCAGGACCAAGCTCCGTACTATGGGAGACCGGGCGTTCTGCTCGGCCGCTCCCAGTCTGTGGAACGCTCTCCCCGACCACATGAGAGCACCACAGACCGTGGAGGCCTTTTTAAGAAAGGCCTCAAAACCCATCTGTTCAATGGAGCCTTTTCCTAGACCTTTTAATTCAGGGTCTCCGCGGGGTCTTAAATCAATTTAGTGAAAATTAAGGCTATTAAAAAGTATTAAACGGCATTTTCCAAGGTGTTACATTTTGTAGCTTGTTTTCAATAAGTATATAAAGTATCCAGAGAGGTTGTATTCTACAGTCTGCCTGAATGTAATCATGGCGTAGGTGTGTAGTGTGATTCTGTGTAGTTTATTGATGGCATCCCGTTGGGTTTGACGTCATCTGAACAGGACATCGCACGCTCACTGCTTGATAGCGCGAAGGTCCGTTTACGCCGGTTGTTAAACAACATCGTTATGGGGAAATGCAAGTCTGCGTCCAAATGGTTGGAAGATAAGGAGGAAGGACAATCAATACTGTATATAGTCAATGAGGTAAAGTGTGTCGCCAAGGTAACCGGTTAAAACTGAAAGTGGCGATGAGGTCTTAAAATGTATGGAAAGGGTCTTAAAAGGTCTTACATTTGACTTCCTGCAGATACCCTGGATATAAAACCTAGCATAACAACTCCATGTTTGTAAGGCTTGAAACTGCAAGTTGACATCAACAGTTCTAATTTAAAACTCATCCTGGAACCACGGACCCAGTTTGACTCTCTTTTTATTGTGTGTGTGTGTGTATATATATAACTTTCAGTTTAGTGATGCTTGTCATCTGGTTCAGAGAGACGGACAGGCACAGGTATGTCCTCCTGTCAGAGAGCGTTTCATTCTAAGCTTGATCTCTTCTTCAAAGGTGCTGGAGCTGATCTGTACCAGGGAGTCTGGCGCTGTGTTCGAGGCCGGCGGTCTGAACTGTGTGCTGACCTTCATCAGAGACAGCGGACACCTGGTCCACAAAGACACGCTGCACTCCGCCATGTCCGTGGTGTCCCGGCTCTGCAGCAAGATGGAGCCTCAGGACTCGTCTCTGGAGACCTGCGTCGAGTCTCTGTCCAGCCTCCTCAAACACGAAGACCACCAGGTAACCTTTTCAGATGTGTAATCAGATAGATCATTTGTTCGTTCAACAAAGCCCTTTCCCGCATTTATTGTGATTTGGGGCTATAATACATTTTGATTTGATTCATATTATAGTCTTACACCTTCGAAATAAATTAAATCAAACCTCGGAGACAACAGTTTGTTTCCCAGCAGCAGCAGCTTTACCAGCAAATCTAACCTCGCTCTCGCTCTCTCTCTCTCCAGGTGTCAGACGGTGCCCTGCGCTGCTTCGCCTCATTGGCCGACAGGTTTACTCGTCGTGGTGTTGACCCCGCCCCTTTAGCCAAACACGGGCTGACGGTGGAGCTGCTGTCCCGCATGGCGGCCGCCGGAGGCTCCGTGACAGGCCCCGCCTCCTCCTGTAAGCCCGGCCGGACCTCCACAGGCTCCACCCCCTCGGCCCCAGACGCAAAACTGAGCAACCAGGTGTCGACCATCGTCAGCCTGCTGTCCACGCTGTGCCGGGGGTCACCGCTCGTCACACATGTAGGTCTACCTCCATTAAAAACAAAACGCATGAAGCCAAAAAAGTTATCATGATTAATTTTTGTTTCTTTTAGCTAGAAGGAATTATAATGACATGTTCAAAGTCTTGTATGTTTGGAAAAGGCTTAATTGGAACCATTATTTTTCCCAAAGTTAGGATTAGGCTTGATTTAAAATACATTTTCTTTCAACAGGATGACACTAAACATAATCTGCTGTTCTATCTACATCACTCATGTTTAAAAAATACGCAATACGAAACAATCCTGCTATAATATCTGTCTGCTGGTGTCACCAGAATCAAAACGTACAAATGTATTGGTAGCTTCAAAAATAAAGAAATTGCCATTGATTCCTGTTGTTATAAAGAAATGTTTTTTGCAAATGCATTTATAGAAACCATTCAGATGGTTTGGAAAAGTCTGTAAATATGGTTCACAGTTTTCACTCATATCTGTTAGTGTCAGCAGAATCAACACCTACAATTAAAATGCTTTCAAAATAAAGAAAGTGACAATTTACATTGAATCCTGTTGTTATAAAGAAATGTCTTTAACTACATTCTTTGCACTTGCATTTATAGAAACCATTCAGATGGTATGAAAAAGTCTGTAATGTATTTGGTTTAGTCGCTGAGAGAGAAGCGATAGAAACCCTGGATTTGACAGAACAGCTGAAATGCTCCCCTTCCCTCCCGTCTTCAGGACCTGTTGCGTTCAGCGCTGCCCGACTCGATGGAGTCCGCTCTGGGAGGAGACGAGCGCTGCGTGCTGGACACCATGCGGCTGGTGGACCTCCTGCTGGTTCTGCTGTTCGAGGGACGGAAGGCTCTTCCCAAATCCACAGCCGGGTCCACGAGTCGGATCCCCGGCCTGCGGCGCCTCGACAGCTCAGGGGAGAGATCCCACCGACAGCTCATCGACTGTATCCGCAGCAAAGACACCGACGCTCTGATCGACGCTATCGACACCGGAGGTAAGAGCACTGACAGTGGATACGGCTAAGGTTAATGAGGGTAAAAGGACATTGCATTCAACATTTCATGACACCAAGAAATTAATTGGAAACAAAATGTGCCTTAAAGGTCCCATGTCATGGCCATTTCCACTGATCATAACTCCATTGTTGAGGTCGACTAGAATAGATTTATATTGTGCAATTTTCCAAACTCACATTGGTTTCTCAAACAGCATCTCTGTAAACTACGTGTATTCACTGAACTTCACTCTCTGCCTTTAACGGCTCGTTGGAGCTCCAATAGCTCCAGCCCCCACCCTCCCTGTGAGCACACTCTGATTGGTCGGGACGTTGTGAATCGCGCTGAGCTCCGTGGAGGTGTGGTTTCCTTGTTTAGCGATACTCAGCCAAACTCATCCTGAGCACACACAAAGTCACAGCCGAAGTAAAAACAATAAGTGTGGCTTGATATTGAGTAAGAAAAGGGTTGATAAACGCTGTGAGAACGGGTCTGCAGAGAGAATGGGTCTGCAGAGAGAATGGGTCTGCAGAGAGCATGGGTCTGCGGAGAGAACGGGTCAGCAGAGAGAATGGATCTGCGGAGAGAATGGGTCTGCGGAGAGAACGGGTCTGCGGTGAGAACGGGTCTGCAGAGAGAACGGGACTGCAGAGAGAACGGGTCTGCGGAGAGAACGGGTCTGCGGAGAGAACGGGTCTGCGGAGAGAACGGGTCTGCAGAGAGAATGGGTCTGCAGAGAGAACGGGTCTGCAGAGAGAACGGGTCTGCAGAGAGAATGGATCTGCGGAGAGAATGGGTCTGCGGAGAGAACGGGTCTGCGGTGAGAACGGGTCTGCAGAGAGAACGGGACTGCGGAGAGAACGGGTCTGCGGAGAGAACGGGTCTGCGGAGAGAACGGGTCTGCGGAGAGAACGGGTCTGCGGAGAGAACGGGTCTGCAGAGAGAATGGGTCTGCAGAGAGAATGGGTCTGCAGAGAGAATGGGTCTGCAGAGAGAATGGGTCTGCAGAGAGAATGGGTCTGTAGAGAGAACGGGTCTGTAGAGAGAACGGGTCTGCAGAGAGAACGGGTCTGCAGAGAGAACGGGTCTGCAGAGAGAACGGGTCTGCAGAGAGAACGGGTCTGCAGAGAGAACGGGTCTGCAGAGAGAACGGGTCTGCAGAGAGAACGGGTCTGCAGAGAGAACGGGTCTGCAGAGAGAACGGGTCTGCAGAGAGAACGGGTCTGCAGAGAGAACGGGTCTGCAGAGAGAATGGGTCTGCAGAGAGAACGGGTCTGCAGAGAGAACGGGTCTGCAGAGAGAACGGGTCTGCAGAGAGAACGGGTCTGCAGAGAGAATGGGTCTGCAGAGAGAATGTCGCCGCGATCCCAACTGTCTGTTATCAGCCTGCAGCCAGGGAGGAGAAATCAGCAGGGCTGCCTGCACTGAGTGTGTGAGGAAGTCCGTGGATTGGTCAATTTGGACCAATCAGCGGGGGCTTAACGTAACGGCTGCACGGATTGGTCCATTTGGTTCCGGGTACCGCATGACGTTAAGCCGTACCCGGAAGAAACATTGGACAATGACGTATCAGTGACGAATCTCCAACGAGGCATTCTGTGTTAGAGTTTTACTCGCTACAGGGTGTGCTTTGAGGGTTTGTGACTGCAGACCGTTCACATGCAGAACAACCATCATAACACAAGGGGACGGGTAAGAACCGGAAAAGCATGACATGGGACCTTTAAATGAGATAGTACCAATTAATACTTCATCCCCACTTTTTCAAAACCAAGAAACACTGACCTTCCTTTTGGATGTATCAGTCATAATAGTACAGACTATTACAACTGCTAGAAATTGCAGTTGCTGTGTTTCAGCAACAAAAAGTGACTCCCTGCTTTTTTCTATTTCAGCTTTTGAGGTGAACTTCATGGACGATGTTGGACAGACGCTCCTCAACTGGGCTTCAGCTTTTGGAACACAGGAAATGGTAAAAATAAGAATGAACACAGACGCTAAACTCTTTGTTTAAATCCACATTTTGTCAATTACCTTGGTTCAAAGTGCAATTTAAAAGTAGTAGTACTATAAACGCAGCAGGAAGCCGATGGACTGTCCACTCCAAGTAGGGAATGAGTCCTTACCCCAAGTGAAGGAGTTCAAGTATATCGGGGTCTTGTTCTCGAGTGAGGGAACAATGGAGCGTGAGATGGGCCGGAGAATCGGAGCAGCGGGAGCGGTACTGCAGTCGCTTTACCGCACCGTTGTGACGAAAAGGGAGCTGAGCCAGAAGGCAAAGCTCTCTGTCTACCGGGTCATTTTCGTTCCTACCCTCACCTACGGTCATGAAGGATGGGTCATGACCGAAAGAACGAGATTGCGGATACAAGCGGCCGAGATGGGTTTTCTCCGCAGGGTGGCTGGCGTCTCCCTTAGGGATAAGGTGAGAAGTTCAGTCATCCGGGAGGGACTCGGAGTTGAGCCAGTTGAGGTGGTTCGGGCACCTAGTTAGGATGCCACCTGGGCGCCTCCCTAGGGAGGTGTTCCAGGCACGTCCAGCTGGGAAGAGACCAAGGGGTAGACCTAGGACCAGGTGGAGGGATTATATCTCTTCTCTGGCCTGGGAGCGCCTTGGGATCCCCCAGTCAGAGCTGGTTGATGAGGGGAGAGGAACGTTTGGGGCTCTCTGCTGAAGCTGCTACCTCCGAGACCCGACCACGGATAAGCGGGAGAAGATGGATGGAGTACTATAAACTAGTGCTGCTCAATTAATCGTATTTTAATCGCGATTACGATTACGAAAACAACGTAATCGAAATAAAACAATTATTATTATAATTTAAATAATTAGTTTTTCTTCGGTTTCGTCAGTTGAATTATACTTAAAGGTCAGGGTAATCAACTGTTAAAAACATACTGTTCACAATTTTCTTTTCTCCAATAAATGGATGTTTTCAAAGTCAATGAATAATCGCATTTAAAATTATTGATCCAAATAATCGAGATTATCTTTTTTGCCATAATCGAGCAGCCCTACTATAAACGCCTGAATTTCCCGAAGGGGATAAATAAAGTTCCATCTTATCTTAGTAGTAAAAATGAAAGTAAAACAGGATTGGAGGTGATAAAGTCAAGGCTGTTCAAAGGGGATTTCGGTTGGATACTTGGAGGGAAATGTTTGACCGACCATGTGTTTGTTGTTGTTGCTTCAGGTTGAGTTTCTATGTGAGAGGGGGGCGGACGTCAACAGAGGTCAGAGGTCATCTTCACTACACTACGCTGCCTGTTTCGGACGCCCACAAGTAGCCAAGGTAAGCCCCACACAGAGACACAGATCCAAGCAGAATGTGTGAAATGTCTTTCTGATGGATTTAGTCAGTGAGTTCTCCTCTCTCACTAAATGTGTGTTTGTCTAGACTCTCCTGCGTCACGGAGCGAACCCTGACCTAAGAGACGAGGACGGGAAAACTCCTCTGGACAAAGCCAGGGAGAGAGGACACAGCGAGGTCGTGGCCATACTGCAGTCCCCTGGTGAGTGTGAAGAAAGAAAGGAAGTTACGAAGTACATTTACTCAAGTACTGTACTTGTGTACAATGAGGAGGTATTTACTTCTCATGCCACTTTATACTTCTACTCAATTAACTACGTAAGTCACACTTGAAAGCAGAATTTATATGTACTTTAACAGTAAAGTAAGAGCACTTTTACTTAGGGGAATGATCCTTTCACCTCTGGTAAATACTACCATATTACTACTGTTAATTCATCAATACTACTATTACCCCCAACAGTATGTTTTAAAACACTTTGCTCTTGATAAGAGACATCAACATTTAACACGCCTTTCAAGCACTTAATTTCCCTTTTTGAGATGGACAGCTTAACGATCATTCTCAAAGAAATGCTCTGGACTTGCATCGTTTTTATGATTTTCCCTTCATCACTCTGGACTGACACAACATTTTTAAGCGGCTGAAATATAATCTGTCTGTGGGTCGACTCTATTCTGCTGTGTGAGGGAAAGCATGTAAGCCTGCTCGCTCAGCAGCAGTGAGGTAACTCTAACCTGTGTGTGTGTATTTGTGTGTGTGTGTGTCTCTCTCCCTGTCTCTCTCTCTCTCCCTGTCTCTCTCCCTGTCTCTCTCTCTCTCTCTCTCCCTGTCTCTCTCTCTCCCTGTCTCTCTCTCTCCCTGTCTCTCTGTCTCTCTCCCTGTCTCTCTCTCTCCCTGTCTCTCTGTCTCTCTCCCTGTCTCTCTCTCTCTCCCTGTCTCTCTGTCTCCCTGTCTCTCTGTCTCTCTCCCTGTCTTTCTCTCTCCCTGTCTCTCTCTCTCCCTGTCTCTCTGTCTCTCTCCCTGTCTCTCTGTCTCTCTCCCTGTCTCTCTTTTTCTCTCCCTGTCTCTCTCTCTCCCTGTCTATCTTTTTCTCTCCCTGTCTCTCTCTCTCTCTCTCCCTGTCTCTCTTTTTCTCTCCCTGTCTCTCTCTCTCCCTGTCTCTCTCTGTCTCCCTGTCTCTCTCTCCCTGTCTCTCTTTGTATCTCCCTGTCTCTCTCTCCCTGTCTCTCTCTGTCTCCCTGTCTCTCTCTCTCTGTCTCTCTCTCTTTTCCTGTCTCTCTCTCCCTGTCTCTCTCTCTCTCTCTCTCCCTGTCTCTCTCTCTCTCTCTCTCCCTGCTCTCTCTCTCCTCTCTCTCCCTGTCTCTCTCTCTCTCTCCCTGTCTCTCTCTCTCTCTCTCCCTGTCTCTCTCTCTCCCTGTCTCTCTCTCTCTCTCTCTCTCTCTCTCCATGTCTCCCTGTCTGTCTGTCTCTCTCTCTCTCTCCCTGTCTCTCTTTTTCTCTCCCTGTCTCTCTCTCCCTGTCTCTCTCTCTCTCTCCATGTCTCTTTCTCTCTCTCTGTGTGTGTGTGTGTGTGTGTGTGTGTGTGTGTGTTGCAGGAGACTGGATGTGTCCGGTGAATAAGGGTGACGACAAGAAGAAGAAAGATGTGAACAAGGAGGAGGAGGAGGGCGGCGAGCCCAAAGGAGACCCAGAAATGGCTCCCATCTACCTGAGGAGACTCCTGCCTGTCTTTGCACAAACCTTTCAGCAAACCATGCTGCCTTCTATTAGGTAACCTGACCAGAAGATCTGTCCACTGCACCTTTTCCCTTGGGATTGAATACACAGCGGGCTCACCTCTATCCTCAAAGCTCATTGATTTAATTACAAGTTATTTAAAAGACAGATGGAGCACAAACTGAAGCACTACATGTGTTACTGGGCTTCTAATCTTCATTTCATTTGAGCACTTTAAGCCAGGCTATCAGTCATTGGCTTATTCATTGTCAAAAGACGGTAAAAACAATGATTTTTCTTTGTCAAAATGTAGATAACGAGGAAATGGTTAACAATGAAATTTAAGAACAAATTGATATTCCTAATTAAATGTGTTGGAAGTCTGCTGATGAAACAGCTCCGTGTATTTACTGTGTGTTTTCTTGGTTGTTGTGCATTTTAGGAAAGCCAGTCTGGCTCTGATTAGGAAGATGATTCACTACAGCAGTGACGTCCTGCTGAAGGAAGTGTGTCACAGCGAGGTGGGACACAACCTCCCCACTGTGCTGGTGGAGATCACTGCTACTGTCCTCGACCAGGAGGTACACACACACACACACACACACACACACACACACACACACACACACACACACACACACACACACACACACACAACAAAATTACCTGCAATACTTTGAGTTGGATACGTTTTGTTTTCTGTGTGCCTTAGTAAAGCAATCAACTGTCTTGTAGTCCAACCAAAGAACTAAACCCATGCCCAATACAATCCTCAGCAATTAGGGGATAACTCATTCAATAACATTTGATATGCTATAACTCAGTCGTCAAACCCATTTAAAAAGGTCAAGACTAATGATTGATGTGATGGCGCTTAATCTAGCATTTAAGCAGTTTGACAGTTTTCCCCATGAGTACAAAAGTGATATGATTTCTCTTCGTGACTCTGTTCCTCAGGACGATGACGACGGTCACCTCCTGAGTCTGCAGATCATCAGAGATCTGGTGGATAAAGGTGGAGACGTCTTCCTCGACCAGCTGGCTCGGCTGGGCGTCATCAACAAAGTGTCCACTCTGGCCGGACCGGTGTCCGACGACGAGAACGAGGACGAAACCAAACCTGAGAAGGTGTGTGTGTGTGTGTGTGTGTGTGTGTGTGTGTGTGTGTGGTGTGTGTGTGTGGTGTGTGTGTGTGTGTGTGATGTGTGTGTGTGTGTGTGTGTGTGTGTGTGTGTGTGTGTGTGTGTGTGTGTGTGTGTGTGTGTGTGTGTGTGTGTGTGTGTGTGTGTGTATATTTTCTCCTGCATCAGATTATAAATCAAACAAGAGGCTTCAGATTTAAAGCAGTATCCTTTTCTTGTATATGTCTAATAGGGGTGTAACGGTTCACAAACATTTCGGTTCGGTACATACCTCAGTTTTTAGGTCACGGTTCGGTACGGTTTCGGTAAAACAGAAAAAATGATCACAGCCAGTTTGACATCAGGACTTGCTTGTCATTGTATTTTCATGTTGTTTAAAGAAAGATGCCAGATCTGCTGGCACTAACAATGTCTCCTGCTGTGGAGAACACCCTCTCTAGGGACAGAGGTAGCAGATACAGCCAGGTAGCGCTTTGCTACCATGGCAACATAAGGATATTTGGCGTTTGTAATAGCTTTGGCTCGGTCTGAACTTGTTGCGAGTGGTGGAGGCTTACATGCTAGCGTTTGATGTATTGCCAGCCGCGTAACCAATTTTAGTTGAACAATGCCGACAAACAGCTTTGGTTCGGTCCACCTGTCTTTGTCCGTCATCCTTGTTCGTAACTGCGAAACCAAAATGTTCCCAAACCGGAGACTTCAATGAGAGATTAAGATGGACTTTTATTAATCCCTCGTGGGGAAATTGTTTCTCTGCATTTGACCCATCCTAGTGTTAGGAGCAGTGTGCTGCCATTTTGAACGTGTGTGTGTGGGGAACAGTGCCTTGCTCAGGGACACCTCGGTAGCACTTGGTCTTGCCGGGACTTGAACTGGTGACCTTCCAGTTGCCAAGCCAAGTCCCTATCGACTTCGCCACCACCGCCCTTCGATGGGCGATAATGCTGGAGGATTTTCGAGCTCAACTTTATCTGCGTTCGCCATTTCGCCAGTTCCTCAAATTACTGACTACATTTGAACGCATCCCTGTGACCAGCTCTCATAGCATGCCTCTCGTCCAATTAAATGACTTGGTCGCTCTATGACGCGTTGAACCCACGTGTACCGAACCGAAGGGCCCATACCGAACATTTTGGTTACGTATACCGTTACACCCCTAATGTCTATATTAGTTGTTTTATCCCTCAAGTCCAACAGTAATAATGACGTACTCAGAATGTTAATACTTAGGACATCCTAAAAACAATCCTCCGTTTTACACTTCATCCTTAAAACCTATGCTTAGTCAATGATGTGCTTGTAAAGGAATATTGTTAATTGATTTTTTTATTTTATATATTAAGATTTATTTATTTTAAATCATTAGCACCAAAATGTACCCTCTTAAAAAACTGTTCATGCAGATTTGTTGCAAGTAGAGGAATAAAAGCAGGATTTGTATAATAATAATACATGGAATTTTTATAGCGCTTTTCCTAGTGCCCAAAGAAGCTTTACATAACATCAGAAACAGTACAAAGAAAACACAAACGATAGTCCTAATCCAAGTGCGAGTAAAGTGGTCTTGTTTTCCAACGTGTTCACATCTTCTCCTCTTGCAGGAGGATGAGGCGCAGGAGGACGCGAGGGAGGTCCAGCAGGGCAAGCCGTACCACTGGAAGGACTGGTCCATCATCAGAGGGAGGGACTGTCTCTACATCTGGTCCGACGCCGCCGCACTCGAACTCTCCAACGGATCCAACGGCTGGTTCAGGTTCATCCTGGACGGCAAGCTCGCCACCATGTACTCCAGCGGGAGTCCAGAGGGCGGCTCCGACAGCTCCGGTACGAACGACTCGATCACATCACATGTTTTAATCACTAGATTTCTCTGGCTGAATTCAGACGGAGGCAAAACGGGCCGTCATCTCATTCAAATGAAATTGGTTGTTTTTCATTCTGGTTTGGGACACTTTCATATCTGGTACTTAATCAGATACAGGTTTGATCTTTTTAAAGTGCGGTCTGAACAGTCCTATAGGATTTCAACTGTCATTCAAAGTCACTCTGATTCTACACTGATCAAATCACAATCCTACCACTCTTCAATTGAGAGGCGAAGTCCCTCCCTTTCCTCTGTATGTATTGAAGTGAATGGCGAGAGAAAAGTTATCTTTCGATCCCGTTTGAATTGTGCCACGAATTACACATATGATGTTTGTCAATTTAAAAGATAATTTTGCAAGTCAAACTAAATACAAATGTGTCGTAAAACTGTGAAATAACACTTTTTGTGTGTGAAACCGCTCAGTGAACTACATCTCCCGTCTCGCTCCACACACCAAGACTTTTCTTTCTCTCAGAACGAGGCGGAAAGTATTAAACGAGGTGAAAATCACTCCAAGTCTGGGCGCGTTGAGAGCTGTGCACACACACAAGGGGAGTTAGTCGGTTCCGTGAGAGCCAGCATGCGGGACCGGGACTCTGGGATTTGTAGTCTTTCTAGTCGCGTATTTTTCATAGTCTTATATTTCAACAGTTTTACGACAAACTGAGACTTTTTTGACACGGAAATTATTTTTTAAGATTGACAAACATCATATGTGTAATTCGTGGCACAATTCAAACGGGATGGAAAGATAATCTTTCTCTCTCCATTGACTTCAATACATAGTTTTTCTGAAATAAGGTCCCATGGAGGAACCCGGAAGGGGAGGGGCTTCGCCTCTCTATACCTCCATTGCTCCACAAATGGCCATAATTAAAATAAATGTTGCTTTCTTGTCCTCGTCATTGTCCTTGCTCATAAACTCTTGCCTCCACTGCACATACACTTTTAAATGAACCCGTAAACTGTAACTTTAGTGGCCCTCATGTTTAGTTCCTATAACTTTCTGTCTTTGTTATTGTTCTTTTGCATCAGTTCAGGACTATCGCACTGGAATCTCACAAGGGCTCCATTTAAAATAAAAAATGTAATAAAGTTGAGCACTAAATCATCTCAGTGTAACCATAACCAACATGTCTCTGACCGATCTCCTCCCCCTCTCTCCTGCAGAGTCTCGCAGTGAGTTCCTGGAGAAGCTGCAGCGTGCGAGGAGTCAGGTGAAGCCAGTGACACCCAGTCAGCCCATCCTCTCCATAGTGGGTCCCACGAAGCTGACGGTGGGGAACTGGTCCCTGACCTGCCTGAAGGAAGGAGAGATCGCCATCCACAACTCAGACGGACAGCAGGCCACCATCTTGAAGGAAGACCTGCCGGGCTTCGTCTTCGAGTCCAACAGAGGAACCAAACACTCGTTCACCGCCGAGACATCACTGGGTCAGTCTCAGCGTTTCTCTTCCTACATCTACCTTGTTTTAATCTATTCACACAACATCTATTGACCCTCTGTCCATCTTTAGGGGGGGGGATGTTGCTCTCCTGAGGTTTATCAAATGTTTCTTTGGAAGTTTGTCTTTGGTACATCGAGGGTCTTATGACAGTGTTGTATGTGTACACACTGTAAAACCCCCACCCCCTGAGACAAACGTGTAATTTGGGATTTAAGGCAAAAACTATTTAATTGATCAGCTGCACGCAAATTACTGTTCAAATAAGGATTGATTTAAGCAACTAGAAAACCACCATAAAAGGAGAACATCACATCATCCTTCTGGAACCTCACAAGCCATGTTAGGCACTTTTGAGATGTATTGATACAGAGAAACAAATTCAAGACAGATTCAATGTGTTCCTGCAGTCTATTTATAGTGACCAACTGTATCAAAAGTAAAACTGGTATCAAGTGAAACCCATAGCGGTGACTAGACATGTGTTAATGTTTTCTGAATTGTGTGTGTGTTCAGGCTCAGAGTTCGTGACGGGCTGGACGGGGAAGCGAGGCCGGAAGCTGAAGTCGAAGCTGGAGAAGACGAAGCAGAAGGTGAAGAGCATGGCGAGGGAGCTGTACGACGACCACTTCAAAGCCGTGGAGAGCATGCCCAGAGGGGTGGTGGTCACCCTGAGGAACATCTCCACACAGCTGGAGTCCGCCTGGGAGCTGCACTCCAACCGACAGGTACATAAACACACACACACACACACACACACACACACACTTCTACATGACGTATCCCAGATCCTATGTTGGTTTTAATTTTGGTGTGCTGTATACGGTACGATAATATACAATACGACTCTAATGGTCAGATCAAGTCTGAAATGTGAGTTGCATCACGGCAGCTCCATGTGTAACATCAACATAGACAGATATCAAGACACAATACATGCAAAACAAACATTTAACACGACAGCACAATCACTGAGAGAAATCGTGCTCAAAGAGCCTTGACAGCGTGTATTATTTGTTTTGTGTTGAAGCAGTGCATTGAAGGAGATGTGTCTGTCTGTCTGTCTCTCTGTCTGTCTGTCTCTCTGTCTGTCTGTCTGTCTCTCTGTCTGTCTGTCTCTCTGTCTCTCTGTCTGTGTGTCTGTCTGTCTGTCTGTCTGTCTTTCTGTCTGTCTGTCTGTCTGTCTGTCTGTCTGTCTGTCTGTCTCTCTGTCTTTCTGTCTGTCTGTCTGTCTGTCTCTGTCTCTCCCTGTCTCTCTCCCTGTCTCTCTGTCTCTCTGTCTTTCTGTCTGTCTCTGTCTCTCCCTGTCTCTCTGTCTGTCTCCCTGTCTGTCTCTCTGTCTGTCTCTCTGTCTGTCTCCCTGTCTCTCCCTGTCTCTCTCTGTCTCTCTATCTCTCTATCTCTATCTCTCTCTCTCTCTTTTCCTCCGTAACCCAAATCTCTAAAAACGGGGCTACAACGGAGCTGATCCAGATTTGCGTCCGATATGGCGAAATATCAGCGTGTCAAATTCCTCGTACGAGTAAACCTACCTGGTAATAAACCTGCTTCTGTGTGATTTGTTTTGAAGCAGTGCATTGAAGGAGAGAACACATGGAGGGACCTGATGAAAACAGCTCTGGAGAACCTGATCGTTGTTTTGAAGGATGAAAACACGATTTCTCCGTATGAGATGTGTAGCAGTGGCCTGGTCCAGGCTCTGTTCACTGTCCTCAATAATGTGAGTGGTCTTTACAATCAACCCTGAGTTATATCAAGTGTTTTACCTTCTGGCTGTGTGTATGTTAAAGAAGGTAAAGGTAAGGTAAAGTGAGTTATTCTGTGTCTTGTGTGCAGAGTGTGGACCTGGAACTGAAACATGACTGTAAGCCTTTAATGGAGAGGATCAATGTCTTTAAGGCGGCTTTCAGCGAGAATGAAGAGGGTGAAAGGTAAGAGCACCTTAACTAGCTGACATGTTCACATCCTGACTTAAAAGGAGCTGCACACACACACATACACACACACACACACACACACACACACACACACACACACACACACACACACACTCTCTGTCTCTCTCTCTCACACACACACACACACACTCTCTGTCTCTCTCTGTCTCTCTCTCTCACACACACACACACACACTCTCTGTCTCTCTCTGTCTCTCTCTCTCACACACACACACACACACACACACACACACACTGTCTGTCTCTCTCTCTCACACACACACACACACACACACACACACACACACACACACACACACACACACACACACACACACACACTGTCTGTCTCTCTCACACACACACACACACACACACTTTAGTTAAATACCTCTGACTAATTAAACTGACAATCACAGTCTGGAAACATAACCTAGGGTCTCTTAACCTCTTAATCAGTCTTTACATGACTGTGTGCCACCTTACATGCATACGAACAATTGCAACACAAGCCTTTCTACAAGTTTTCAATATTATTTCCATATAACGATTATTGCAAGGCGATATATTGAGATTTTAAAACAAATTAGACTGAAGGGAAACAGCACAATTTAAATTAGTTATGCAATCGGAACAGTGGGACCTGCACACATCTGTCTTTTTCACAAAATGTACATTCTGTTTTGGGGTATTTGTGACAAAAACAGCACTTTGTAAACTATAATAACATGCAAAGTACTTGCACGGAGAAATAAAATGCCTCCAGTGTCTCAAGGTCATTAGAGAGCTATCAATCCAGTCTCAATCAGACTGCAGGAAGAAGTCTAATCGGGCAACACAAGTGAGAGCAGGGTGGACTGTGTATGTGAAGGGGATTTGATGAAGGACGCTCCATGTGATCGACCTGCTGTCTTGTCTCAAACTGTCGGATTAAAGCGTGTGTGTGTGTGTGTGTGTGTGTGTTTGCAGCCGACCAGCTGTTGCCTTAATCCGTAAACTGATAGCTGTTCTGGAGTCAATAGAACGTCTACCTCTGCACCTGTACGACACTCCGGGATCCACATACAACCTGCAGGTGAGTCGCAGTGTGATCTGGATCCAGTTCTGTTTTATTTATCTTGATTTCTTAACGGCAATTTTTAACAGAGTGTGTTTGTGTTGTCAGATCTTGACGAGGAGGTTGCGTTTCCGTCTGGAGCGAGCGCCCGGCGAGACGGCTCTTATCGACCGGACGGGTCGCATGTTGAAGATGGAGCCGCTCGCTACTGTGGAGTCTCTGGAGCAGTACCTGCTGAAGATGGTGAGGACACACTGAACCACATAATGGAGATAAAATAACCTTCTTACTGAAAGATGTGCTAATGAATAAATGCATCACCAGAGGTGGGAAGTAGTGGAGTACAAATACTTTGTTACCGTACTTAAAGGTGGGTTAGTCATTCACTTCAGAAACACTTTGTTATATTCCATGGAATGCTCTTAACATCCCGACAGCAATGAATACATTAAATGCTTTGACAATAAATACATAAAAACATTTCATCTGTGGAAGCCGTGGCGCTGTAAAAAGCACGACCAATCATCTGAGCCGGCTAAAGTAACTGGATGGCCTACCTGCCTGTCAGCCTTCCATCTGTGCACAAACTCATCTCGTGCCCTCATTGGTCATGTGCGCGTTCGTGTGTGTTGGAGGAGGGGCTCTGTAAGGAAGTCTGAAGGAAGAGGCAGATTTTTTTCGGCTGTGTACTTTCAAATTCTAGAGCACTCAAGCTGGTTTCTCCGTTCTTACCTACCCTACCTTTAAGTACATGTTTCTGGTACCAGTACTTATTGTTCTGACAACTTTTTACTTTGACTTCTTACATGTTGAACACAAATACCTGTACTTTCTACTTCTCACATGTTGAACTCAAATACCTGTACTTTCTACTTCTCACATGTTGAACTCAAATACCTGTACTTTCTACTTCTCACATGTTGAACACAAATACCTGTACTTTCTACTTCTTACATGTTGAACTCAAATACCTGTACTTTCTACTTCTTACATGTTGAACTCAAATACCTGTACTTTCTACTTCTTACATGTTGAACACAAATACCTGTACTTTCTACTTCTTACATGTTGAACTCAAATACCTGTACTTTCTACTTCTTACATGTTGAACTCAAATACCTGTACTTTCTACTTCTTACATGTTGAACTCAAATACCTGTACTTTCTACTTCTTACATGTTGAACTCAAATACCTGTACTTTCTACTTCTTACATGTTGAACACAAATACCTGTACTTTCTACTTCTTACATGTTGAACCCAAATACCTGTACTTTCTACTTCTTACATTTTGAACACAAATACCTGTACTTTCTACTTCTTACATGTTGAACTCAAATACCTGTACTTTCTTCTTCTTACATGTTGAACTCAAATACCTGTACTTTCTACTTCTCACATGTTGAACTCAAATACCTGTACTTTCTACTTCTTACATGTTGAACCCAAATACCTGTACTTTCTACTTCTCACATGTTGAACTCAAACACCTGTACTTTCTACTTCTTACATGTTGAACACAAATACCTGTACTTTCTACTTCTCACATGTTGAACACAATACCTGTACTTTCTACTTCTTACATGTTGAACTCAAATACCTGTACTTTCTACTTCTTACATGTTGAACTCAAATACCTGTACTTTCTACTTCTTACATGTTGAACTCAAATACCTGTACTTTCTACTCTCTACATGTTGAACCCAAATACCTGTACTTTCTACTTCTTACATGTTGAACACAATACCTGTACTTTCTACTTCTTACATGTTGAAACTCAAATCCTGTACTTTCTACTTCTTACAGGTTGAACTCAAATCCTGTGTACTTTCTACTTCTTACATGTTGAACTCAAATACCTGTACTTTCTACTTCTCTACATGTTGAACTCAAATACCTGTACTTTCTACTTCTTACATGTTGAACTCACATACCTGTACTTTCTACTTCTTACATGTTGACCTCAAATACCTGTACTTTCTACTTCTCTACATGTTGAACTCCAATACCTGTACTTTCTACTTCTCTACATGTTGAACTCAAATACCTGTACTTTCTACTTCTCTACATGTTGAACTTCAAATACCCTGTACTTTCTACTTCTCTCATGTTGAATCATGTTCTTCTAATATACATGTTGACTCAAATCTGTACTTTCTACTTCTTACATGTTTGAACTCAAATACCTGTACTTTTCTTACTTCTCTACATGGTTGAACCCCCTCAAATACCTGTACTTTCTACTTCTCTCATGTTGACACAAATACCCTGTACTTTCTACTTCTTACATGTTGACACTGCAATACCTGTACTTTCTACTTCTTCCATGTTGAACATCAAATGACCTGTACTTTCTAACTTCTCTACATGTTGAACTCCAAATTTACCTGTACTTTCCTACTCTCTCACATGTTGAACACTAAATACCTTGTACTTTCTACTTCTTACCATGTTTGAACTCAAATACCTGTACTTTCACTTCTTACATGTTGAACTCAAATACCTGTACTTTCTACTTCTTACATGTTGAACTCAAATACTGTTACTTTCTACTTCTTACATGTTGAACTAAATACCTGTACTTCTACTTCTCACATGTTGAACCCAAATACCTGTACTTCTACTCTCTCATTTGAACACATACCTGACTTTCTACTCTTACATGTTGAACTCAAATACCTGTACTTTCTACTTCTCATGTTGAACACAAATACCTGTACTTTCTACTTCTTACATGTTGAACTCAAATACCTGTACTTTCTACTTCTTACATGTGAACTCAAATACCTGTACTTTCTACTTCTCTCAGTTGAACTCAAATACCGTACTTTTACTTCTCACATGTTGAACTCAAATACCTGTACTTTCTACTTCACATGTTGACTCAAATACCTGTACTTTCTACTTCTTACATGTTGAACTCAAATACCTGTACTTTCTACTCTTACATGTTGAACTCAAATACTGTACTCTACTTCTTACATGTTGAACTCAAATACCTGTACTTTCTACTTCTACCATGTTGAACA